GTACTTGTAAGACAAGAGAGAAAAGACAAATTCTCGACACCATTCAATCCAACGCCATACCGTGTGGTAAGCAAGACTGGCAACAGTGTCATTGTGGAGGCTCCAGGTGGGACCCAATACTTGAGAAACACCTCACATGTGAAAAGGTTTATAGCGGACGATCCTGTATCGACACCTGGGGCGCCATCTGTTAGCCCAGACGAATTCGTCATACCTTCCACAATTCGAAGCCAAGTGTTAAGTGAATTGGCACCGGCAGCACCTACCACACCACAGAGTGAACCTCCAACCAGGAGTACACTGTCAGCACAAACAAGTGCAGAGAATGGAAAAGAGTCAGTTACCAACCATAGTGATATGGCAATTGACCAAGCAACAGTACCTAGCACGTCAGCAACACCAAGGTTGACTCAGAGACCTAAGAGGCAGAGGAGACCACCAGAGAGATACAAAGACTATGTTTTGAAATTGTGAACTGTTCTCCTGTGAGATGTTTACTGATGGACAAATCAAAGAACTTTGTGATTTTGTTTTTAAAAGTGTTGTTGAGGATGCTCATTCGGAGACAATTTAAACTTTTAACTTTGTTGACATGTTCATCGCATAAAGCTAAGGCGTCTACCTTTAGAGTTGAATTTGTTTTCACTATGTTTACGTTCATGTTCGAAGGATTGTTAGACTTTCTTTCCTCAGAGAAAAGGAGAGATGTTGTGTATGTCACATTTTGTGCATTTATGTCATGAAGTAGACAAGGAGCAGTATGAGAGAGAAGAATAAAGAGAGCACATGGTCGACTTGTTGTGTGCTTCTTTCCGAACTAGTTTCACTTCTCCAACTAGTTAAACCTCCTCTAATTTATGTACTAAGAGGACACGACATTCCCCAGCTTTCAAAAAGAGATGAGTCTCCAAGATGGTACTTTTGTAAAATAAATTTGAAATGGGGAGACCCAAGAAGTTTGACCAAAATTCTATGCTGCATATTTTGTACATGACCATTCCAAACTGCTTAGTAATAAATTCCTGTTGATTAGCTCTCAGAGACCGGCCTACAGTGTATACGTGTAATACAACAGTAAGGTATTTTCCCCAGGAATAAAAAAAGGTGATGGGTTTGAATCTTGCTGAAACAGGAGTTCTGGTTTCCTTTCCACTGCTTATGTTGATATACATGTGTAACTGCACAGACCCCATTTTACATGTATTTTGCTTTTTCCCCTGAACTTAAAGATTTTTTTTCTGACTTTCTTTTGGTATATAAGCTCATCATTATCTTTTGTTAATCACTAGTACTGCAATACAATGTTGCTTACCTAAGCCAAGCTTGCTGGGTCTCGGTTTGAGTCTCTGTGATAATAATTGAACAAATTTTTAAGGTTTTACAGTGTGCCAGTAGCAATAGTAGGGAATGTCAAGTTAATAAAAAAAAGATAATTATATAAGCTTAATTTGTTCTCTTGCAGTACTTACAATTATATCTGTGCCATAAATATTTTCTAGTTGTTTCGCTGCCTCTTGTGTACCGTCTGGACTACCATCATCAATAATTATTATCTCATAATCATGCTCACTATAAAAACAATCAAATGATTTTTTTCAAACTTAGGTCTACACCATTAATAAACCACGTTAAAATAGGAAAATCGATGACCAAAACTGTTATTCTAAGAAAGAAAACTTTCTTACCTATCTGAAAAAGCTCTAACAATCAACCAAACGATCAACGGTAGGTTTTCTCGCTCGTTATAAGTGGGCAACAAAATAGAGTATTTGTCCCTTTTGGCAGCCATGTTGAATTTACGTGGCAGATAAGCCGCTGTCCAGTTTTTCACAGAACGCCGTCGCTTGTCGGGCACGCAATAATGTGAATAGCTTTGTAAATCAAAACACCTGAAATTTTATGGTTATTGATTGGTTACAGTTCATTTTGGATCGCCCAAGAACCGGAAAACATAAGATAATTGCAAGCCTGCTTCAGCTACACCCGTAGCTACAGGTTATATCGCGAAATTTCTATATTTCCCGTTTTGAAAGTTGCCGGTAATTCTGACTCCGCCTGGCGGTTCAGTGCAGGCAGTCGAATGAAAATTCCTTACCTGGAGGTCATGATATGCATGAAATTACATTTGGGTGTTTCTCACGTGGTCTTCATTAAAAGATGTTGTCAGCTTCTAAGAGGATAGGTAAAGTATGTGTGCATTTAACTGTTCGGGTAAACATTTTGAGTCCATTTTGTGTCGCAAGCTCTCTGCATAAGTTCCGTCAGGACCTATGATTTTGATTTTTCTCTCTGCATTTAATATTACCTTTTCTGGCTGAAGTTGATCTCACTTAGCAGCTTTTTAGCAAGTTAATTACAGTATATATGCGAAGCATCCCACAAAGTGTGTAATCCAACAAAATTTAATCGAGTATTCGCGTTTACGCTCATGTCAGGATAAAAAGATGCGAAAGACGCTGGGCAACAGTCGGCATGCCTGAAGAGCAATATGACCCGGCGCCGGGAACTTGCGCAAAACTCAGTGTTGATCTTAAGGCATACCGCGAAAGCTCAACCGCTTAACCATGCTACTTGGTCACTCAATAGAACGTGTCGGAAACCATCTTGAGATTTTGACGTTATGGAGAGGGGCTTTTACAAAACGCCACTCCATTTTGTCAGTTTGGTAAGAAAGGGGCGGTAGCCTTTGTCATTCCTAAGGGCTGTGAAGCCCGAGGAAAACGTCAGTGAATGAAAAACAACACAATACTAACATCCGCAGTGTCAGAAAAAAATATTCGCAACGTGGGTTGTGTCTACAAAGATGTAAGAAGGCCATGAAAAGCTTTTAATTGAGTTAATTGGCAACGGAAGTTGGGTTGGAGACGCCCTCCCTAATTTAACCTAAAAAAAAAATCGCATGCTCAGCCGCATATGTTTCGTTCAGAATTAATTTTCTTTTAAAATTAACTACCAACAGCAATTTGGCAGAACTATAGAAAGCATCAAGGTACTGTTTGATTCTTGAATGATAAACTAGTAGATCTGACCAAAACACACATGTGTTTTGTTTTTTTTTTTATCCGCCCGATTGCAACAGATTTTCTGATCAAATTATAGCAATATGTCATGAACACGTTGCGTCAACTTTTGGAGAGGCCACAGTATGCCGGAGCCGCTGAATGCGGTCGGCGAATCGTGTCGCGTGAATCTCATGACTAGGGCATGGAGGTGCTTTCAAATATCTCCGAAGAATAAACCTACCTTACATCAACATAAAAACAAGAAGTGGGTTGATTTATTAAAACCCAATAATTTATTATTCTTACGTAATTTTACTCCCGAGATTTTAAGTATACAGTATGCATAAACTTGACACTTATTAAGATTTTAAATAGTCAAAACAAGTCAAAACATCAATTCGGTACAGTAGTATCAAACTATTTATGTAATATCAATAATTTGAGAACGAAAGATTCATAAATAAAAATAAAAACAGGCCATTTATAATAACTTAAACCCTATGTCCTCTTTTAATACGACTAAAACCGTAATCCAGACAATCTATCCCTTGTTTTTAAAATAATTTTGTCGTCTTTTGAGTGCTGATTTATTTCCTTATTTCGGCTCATTCAGTTTATAAACGGTGTTGGCTATGATCCGTACTCTTAAAAAACTTGTCGGGAAAAATCAAAATACAATATCGTGAGAGGGATATTGTACATGAGAAAATTCGTACGTAATCCAAGTCTGCTCTCGAAACATTGATATAAACCTTGCACGTACGGCAACACTTGTGCGTGAGCTGAATCAGCTGATTTTTTTCTGACCAAACTTCATCAATTTTTCCTTTGTTTGAAAAGCTTCGTTGTTTTCCCCTATTGAGTGTAGAAATGCGTCGTGTGTCTCTTCATATGCTCCTAATTTATCTTTCGCACTTCGCTGTAGATGACCGCACAACGCGGCGGTTCTTCCAGAAGTCTTGCCCAAAGTTTTGTTGTTAAGTTGTTGCGAAGATGTGTGCAATACAAGCTCGAAATATTTCCCCTCAGCAGCTCCGTCTGTTAAAATCCCTTTGATAATAGTTTGTCCTTCTCTTGCAAGTACGTGTCCTTGAAAGGGCTCGCTCACCCTGTTGCCCATATGTTGTACGATTTTACAGCTGTGCGATCCAAAGAAAGGGATTTTGCCGCGCCTTCGTGTGTCTATAACCCAGTACCTCGTAGATGATGGCGGCTGTGATTCGCAAGGAACGAGCAGAATTTTAATCGGAGCTTCACTCTGCAAGTCCAAACATGCTCCCATTGTCGTATTCAAATCGCTGGAGCTCTTTGTGTTTCTTTGCTTTCTTCTCGGTCGCTTTTGTAAACTGGTATCGCTTATCGCGCGGAATAAACTTTTCATTATGCCACCTGCATCAAGCCAAGTTTTTCACACGGTAAGTGTGTATTACCCGAACTTGTTCCGGCTTATTGTGGCACTAGCTTGAGTTCCTGTTGATCAGAAGAAGAACTCAATTATACAGTTTCAATTTTTTGTGCATTTAAAGTTCAATATTTATAATCTTAGTGCAATTATACTTCTGCAAGCTCCATATTAGCTTTTGCCGAAATTTTCGAGAAAGTTTGACAAGGAGATTAAATTGTCCGTAAAATGCTCTCGACATCAATCGATTTTCACAGGTCCAAGATGATATTGGTTTTAATGCATCGAAAACAGTTAGTGTTTTCGGATAAAAACATTTGCATTTCAACAAAAAAATAACAGCTTGAGTCCATGAACACAGAGGTATGGCTCGCGCATCGAGCGTGCAGTTTGTAAAGAGATTTTAAATGTTTCCTGAGGCGCAACTGATAGACTCGATTTATTTAGTCGTTGATTTCAGATTTTCTTTTTCAAAGAATCGCCCGCACAGTGAAACATGCTGTTAGCAAAGAAAAACTTCTACACAGGCTTAAGGCTTAGCCGGTACGAAGAGAGATATATACACGATTTTCGGTGTAACTTTTGTTTACTGGTTCGAACATAAGATATCGTTTTTAGCGGCTCGAGTATCGCGCAAATTTAAATGCATTTACCTATCCATATAGCTGGCGGACGTTCGTCCGGTTCAATTCAGATTGAATATCTCAGTGAATCAACAGGGCCGATAAAATTAATTCAAAAAACATCTCACCTTCTCTTTACATCGATGGGGCTTCGCGATAGTAGCAGAATAAATTGTTTTGGCTGCCTTCGGCTCTTAGCTGAGGAATAAAACTCGCAGACACTGAACAAAGCCTTGTGAATTTGAATTTATCTACCTTTCTCGCTGCAACATCTGTCATTTAATGTTTCCACTCGTGCCACTTCTAATGCAAATGAAGTTTCGACAGACTCTGGTGAACCGGGATAAAGACAATTGCCGAGTTATTTATCAATTGTTATTCACTAGGCACGTGTCATGGCGGAAATTCACTTTTATCTGACAGGGCTGTTGGCAACAATTATTAGCGAAACTCTATCTTTTCCGGCTAAGTAGACATTTTAGTGTTTTTAAAATATTAAAAGGGTTCCACAGTTGACAGATTTATAAAAGCCAACCTAAAATTAGAGCAAATAGTTTTTGCGGCAAGTCCAAAACTATTAGCGCCCTTATCTGCGCCAAAAAATTTAATGGAAGTTGAAAATAAATATTGCAAAAGTAGCAGATGTAATTTTGTCTTGTGGTGTGATTCCTATTTAAACTTTTCGTTCTTCGCAGAATTAGGCTCTAAGTGTTATTACAGTTTTCTTTCTTAAGGCGATTCGATTCTGTTTAGGCGATAAATTATCATGGCCAAAATACCTGCCGAGGAAAAGAATTACTGTATTGAACTGAACAGAAATGTTTGCAAAACAAGGCAAATTACAACAGCCTATGGAAAAAAAGCCAGCTTCAGGAGTTGTGATTTAAACTCTTTGTTAATGAGAATATTGTTTTTCGGTCCCAAGGTGAATATTCTTATTTTTCTGCTGATTTTAAGTTCTTGTGATATTCTTAAATTTTAGCGTGTGACATTTCGGTTTTATTGACTATGCTGTAGTTGAATATGTTTGGTGCCAGACTGCAAGAAATAAAGACTGATCTGACAAACAGAACGTTTTGCAAAACTTTTATCAGCACCGAACATACGGCTAGTTCTGTTTTTGTTGTTGTTGTTTTTATGCTAGTTTTGCCGCTTAAAGAAAGGAAAAGTTTTATATGGTTTAGTGAAAAACATATAATTGTATTATGTTACAAATGTTCAACATACAAAAGTATATTCTTTTAGAAATCCATGCCTCGGGTTTATTCTCAAGGTATTCTTAAAATTTCGCAAATTTCAGCCTCGATAATCTCATAAAATATATTCCTATAATGAAAAGAGAGTGTACTAGCGGGCATGGGGAACAGAAAGCATATACTGGCCAAATAAAATGATGAACGTGAAACGAAATTAAAAGCCGGAAGAAGACGATTACCTCCGTTTTAGTGTTACTGGTTCACGCGTGTTTTTAACAATTTCCCCACTAGCTACCATTGAATTTAGAGATTAAGGGACTAAGCTCAAGGCAAACAGACCAACCATCGATTCATGCAAGAACTGAAGGGCTATTATGTTTTCGGAATCTGCAGCGTTTCACCGAAAAAAGAAAATTTGCTCTAGGATACTGGCTGTCAGTACGCTCTCTCTGGGCTGGTGGCGGAGTGCGGGAAAGTTAAGAAAATATATCAACATCCTCTGAGTGTAAAGTGAAGGATTAGCACTTCGGATCAACTATGAAATCAGACCAGCAATATACGATATCATTTTACTTGTGATCAGGCGTTTTTTTGTTTTTTTTTTTTCTGCCGCCGTGCCGTGAGGAAAGAAAAAACTTGATCTCAGGCCAAGATTATGCATCAAATCCGCAGTATACATTTCACATGATCACAACGGACTTCCCTCCATACACGTTTTCAACAACTGATTACGTTAACGTGACCAGTTTGTTGTTTCTTCCTTCATCGAATTATTTTTATCGTAAAAAAAGAAAGAAACACCATCACTCTCAAAGGATCAGAAAATTTAGATCACCCCTATCACCCTGGTGAACTTTCACAGAATTGTTCTAGTTCCCAACCCGGCTACCGGCCGTGCAACAGAGGAGAGATTTAAATTCCGTCAGCCATCTACTCGAATCTACAGTTAAATGACCACTGACTCTCACATGCTGCTCTTCAGAACAATTTGCTACCTAACGCTAAGTTGCTGGATTATAATTAATCAAGCCAAAATTAAGTACAGTTTTAAGCCCTTTTTGAGCTCTGTATCGATCAGTTCCTCATAATATAAAGGCATACACATACCTCAGTCCACGACAATCAAGCTTGGAAATCTCAGGGTCGCTATAATTATTTTGGACGTAAGCCTATTCCTAGGGGTCCGTTCTGGCATCACTTTTGGTCAGTTCGACCGGTGTCAAATATGAGTCCAGTTTGAAGCTCGAAACACTTTTTAAAAAGCGATAGACTACTCTCCAGCAAAACACGTAAATCTGAAAACCTAATTACATGAAGCCTCCTTGGACTCTGACCAAGATATACAACTGGACAAAGTCCCGAACAAATTGTCGTTGGCTGATTTCCCACCCCCTTGAAGAAAGCTAATATCTTCTAGGTTACATCGGCTTAGCTGTGATATAGTCCTTGTACATGTTTAAGTCCCGGGATATGTGAAAAAACATAGGTATATAAGACTGAGGTTTGATACGTACATGCTGATAACAGTCAGATACGGAAATTCTGCACGATGGAAGAGGTTTTATACATACTGATTCAGTCTGATACGGAAATTCTCAGGCACGAAATACGTACCTAGAAGAAGAAAGAGATTTTACGTCAACAAAACAAGATTATTCATTATGCTAATTAAGTTTTCAAATTATCAAACCTTACCAGACTTATTTTGTCTTTCCTGAGGTGTTGTATCATGTCATTTATATGCCACTTGGTGATTCGTCGTCTTCTCGGACCGTATGAGGATAAATAATTTGAATACCTTTGCGTGCGAACTAATTACACCAGAAAGCTTATAAAAAAGCTGACAGAACTTCCAAAGTTGATTGGTTCCGCGCTTTTAAGGTCGTTTACCTTGAAAATTCCTAATGATCAAGTTCTCGCTCTCTATGGACCTTTCATCAAGCTAAACTGAAATAAATCAATTGTAATTATGCTAGGCACATTGAAATGAAAAGAAATTTGATTCTCATCGGAACAGGTGTGCTCGTCCATTTCCTTTGTGTTGGGCTATATATTAATTAACCTCCACATTCGCATAAAATCACGACAATAGACGCATGTCAAAACGGCTAATTCTGATAAACAAGAGATACAAGTCAAAAATCCCCTGTCCATTACTAAATCTCATAAAGTGAAAGCTTACTTAAAAATTAGAGGAATATTGGCGCCATATTCATGAAACCTTTCCACATGATCAGTCGATAACATCGAACGGAAAGTGTAGTAGGTTTTGAGAAGCTGGAAACTGGCAAAGAAATGTCTTTCAGTACCTTCTAATCCAATTTGGTCTTGTCTTTGTGGGTTTTTGGTGTGTCAAAGCCGATCACTCCGAAAACCTTGCTTGACATGTGTTTAAAATTGCTATCAGTTAACAACTATTATCTGTGTAGTTAATCCGGAAGATAACTGATGGAATGTATAGATCCTATCTTGATATATTGCATGTCTCGGATGTGGTCAGAGCACAATTCGAAAGGATTAATTCAATTTTGCGTCTTCAAATATGGTTTTGTGGAGGAAACTCCCTTAATTAAGAAAAAAGATCAGTGCTTGAGACAAAACGTTTTCTTAGATCTGTATTGTACAAAAGAGTAGTTATATTTTTCGATAAGAAATGACGTAATGATTTTATGGCAGAAATCACATTTTACAGAATATTCACGTGGCTTAGAATAGTTGCACATTTAGATTTACATTTTACAAATTGGGTTTAATCTGGCGACATCCTGTCTTCAAGAGTAGGGAGCTTTTGCAAGCCACAAGAGCAACGGTAACGAAAACTGCGCAATGCAAAAGCCGATTACGCGGCACGTTCTGCGTCCGCATTGTATATCTTTGAACATTACTTGGCTGTCCTCTGATCTACAAAGTTGTGACACGGAATCAAACAAATCACGTGCAGTTCTGGGTATTTTAAGAGTTTCTGCTTGAAATTGAAAGTTGTCTTTATATTTTTATCCAGCGGATAGATTGCAACCGATTTACTGAATAGTCGGTGTCACAGCCGCCCCTCCCACCCCGAAAAGAAAAAATCGGGGAAGGCGTTTGTAACCAGTGTTGTAACACAGGCTATTTATTGAATAGATGTAGATATTTATGAAACCGACATGATTACTAAAGGTCGATCATTATCACATTTACTGAGCCTGCGGATTTTGGATTGCGGGTAACATGACCTGTCGACTGTACTTGTTAACGTTTTGGGAATAAAAGGAAGTTTATGATCAGGTACCGAACTATTAAGGAAGAATAGCAAACTCTTGGATCGAGTGCTTCAACGCATTGAGAAGCCTGACCTGCCCCCTCGACTTAGGTAACTGAGAGGCAAACTTGCATTGCTGAAATCAAAGAAACAAATTGAACAATTAAAGCCACCTCTTGTGAAATCTCGGGAGGCGCGGTGGCCTCATGGTTAGTGCGCTCGTCTCCGGATCGAGCGGTCCGGGTTCGAGCCCTGGCCAGGGACATTGTGTTGTGTTCTTGGGC